CGTGTTGAGCATCATAGAAAGAGATTGCATAGAAATCCTTGAACACACAATCACCGCCTTGCTGAGTAAGTTTTAAAAAAAAACTTACATTGACCAAAGAGAACAGCAAAAAGAGTCACCAGAAGGAACCAAAAAGAGTAAAAAGAAAGAAAAAAAGTAGAAGGAGAAAAGAAAGAGAGAAAAAAAGAGGTGAGAGCAAATGTCTCTCTTTTTATACCTCTTTTTTTAGTTATGTGAAGTTGTTGTTTTCTGTCTTATCAATAAATAAGATTTTGCTCCTTACAAGAAAATAAGGTTTACACTCACATTTTTGTTTATTTCTAGAGTGTTTCATGGCTTTTAAAAGTTTGCCCTATCTTTTTATACTTTTTATATTCATTCAGACTATCATTTGAATATATACTTTAATGAAGCTATTCACCTCTATTTTTATATAGTAAAAAGACTAAAAGGCAATAAATTTCATGCATTCTTTGTTTATACCACGCGTCCTTGGGCTTTTTTCCTAGTGTTGGTCACACACACTTTTTGTGTTACTCTGCCAACTCTTTTTTTTTTCCCTTTGACTTTTTGCAAGTAAAAGCTAGATAAATACTATTTTTTAGTAGTTATTATATGAAGCACTAAGCTTGTATAAAGAAATGAAGCAAGTTATGCATAAGCAAAAGAACGCCTCCACCAAAAATGGTAATAGCAAATGATAGACGCGTTCGGAAACATGAAAAAAACAACAAACTTTATTTTGAACAAGTCTAGACGCAAGCATCAGAGAAAGGTCAGGGTATACGCTGTGCGTCCTCAAACAAGTCATAACAGATGAAGCAATGGTTTCTATATGCTCTAAATATTACAATACGCTTTGTAGACTGCAGTGCATCCGTTCTCGTACCTACTATCATGGTACCTCTAGGTCTATTAATAAGCATCTTGTTTATATACAGTTCATCGCATGGACCTCAAAAGAGACATATCAGTCTTTGACCTTTTGGAGGTTCATGTCGCCTAATGAGGTAGATTATCGCAATGACAGTATCCTGTTCATTCTCCTCTTCCTGGTATTCACGTTGTTTTGTGAGTGAGATGTATTACTCTGCAAGCACTAGCAGTGCTTGATCGCTGAAATTGGTGAAATGGCTCATTCTGTTTATTTCCAGGAATCCATGCTCACTAAACACAAGCGCAGTTCCATGTGAATTCCCTTATCTCTTTATGATTTCTTTATGACTTAAGATGTAGCAAAGAACTCTTTGTCAAACGCTTCCAGCTTCGCCAGAATAATTGGAGAACAAAAGACAGCTGAAAAAGTTACAAGGCAAGCGAGATCGCATACTTCGTCAATGCAAGCATTGTAGCATTTTGCCTATGCTGTTGCCGAGCATTGAAACACAAATAGATAATCTCCAAGACGAAATAGCTGAAATTGAGAGTCTCAAAGCAGAAAGAGTTTGGTTCGAACAAGGCGAGAAACCTCCCGGGTTTATTAAACACTTTATCAAAGTATGGGAATCGTAACGTCATATTTCTGTCCTGTATCATCCTGAGAGCAGTGATCTGTACCTCGATCAATCAAGCAGACAGGCCACCGCTGAATATATCTACACCTAGCTGTACTCACCTTATCCAGTGGATGAACTCTCTAAACCGAATTCTGATACACTTACCAGAGTCTTATGTCTACGGAAGATCAGCGCGAGGCTCTGTTTACCTCGATAGACATAGAAGAGATTATATTTTATGTAGTTTAATACTGAAACAGGTATATACAACTATATCAATGTAATATTGAAGCTATGGAGTAATCAAAGAAACATAAAGGTCGAATTCTTTTTGTTACATTGTATGTTGGTTCAAGACAAAGAAGATCAAGTTAATGTAACATATGCATTACTTTACAACAGTAAATGTTGTTAACATCTAGTGAATTATATTATATGGTGCGTCGTCAACTACTACAGACCAGAGATACCATGAATCGACGTTATGGGCTTAATACAAGGTATTATGTTAATATCTAAGATGACTTTGGCTTACGTACGAAATATATTTTGACTATATTGCATCAAAAGGTGTACTCTTCTTTGATATAAACGTAGAAATACAATTAATGATGCCACCTGAGGCCAAGAGACTTTGTTATGCAGATATTAGGATGTTGCACGGATAGATTCTTAGCTTCAAGAATTTTAGTATCCGTCCAACGTAAATAGTACCCCTGGTCAGAATCGTCAAAGAGGCTAGAAAGTAACGGCTCAACCTCATTGACATCCTCTTGCATAGTAGCCCTGAGCAGTTTCTGAATTAAATCACAAATAGCTTTGCCAAACTTCTGTTCTGCAGTTTGGGAGTATTACCTTTTTTGGATTTTACAGTACCCTTTTGCAGTGCCTTTAGTGTTACCCTGTAATAGTTGGAAGTCATATTTCTTTCAATCAAGTGGCTGTAAAAGCTCTTTTGTGCATGCTTTATTTTTAGTTTCCTTGATACTGTTTTCCACATCTTTGTCATACAGCAAGCAGTGGTAATAATATGTCCAATGATCAATTTGAACAATTGTTTACAAGAGAACAGCTCATTGAGGATATACTAAGTTTTAACAGATATATCCATGATTGGAGTAAAGTATGGCTTCCAATTAAACAGCTGCTGAAGTAGAAGGAAAAGATAAGGTGATAATCCATCCATCAACTTTCAATTGGGCTTTCCTTGCCGTTGTTTCCTGCCCAAGCTAAATGAAAAAAATAAGTTGACAGCGTTCAAAGGTGTAGAGAAATAGGAACTGAAAAAGGTTTTGCTGTATATTTATCTGAAAATGAAGTGTGGCACAAAAGAGCCTTTACAACCTTATCTTCTCCATCTATGTTGACAACTGCTTGATTCAGTGTTGTTTTGAGCTGTATCTTAGATGCATTCACCAATTTACCAAATCGTACTCTGCCCAAAACTATGCATCAATTAGATCAAATGGCCCATGTTGTACTAAAGGAACAAAGCATTACTGTCGACAGTTCGTCATATGTCGACTTTAATAAAAAGAATCGTGTGGTGCTTACACTTTCAGCCAATGGAATGAGGGAGCATTGAGGATGTCTATTAATGAGAAAAAGCGTAAAAACTTGCTATTGCTGAACGAGGTGATTTACATTCCATCGCTTCGTTATTGATGAAGATAACAGAGAGTTTGATGCCCCACTGTTTCTTCCTAGTCTTCTTTCTTTGCGGTCGCAAAAACAATCATGGCTATTACTCCAACAAAACGCACCCATTCTGATGTGTTATCCAATCACAGCAAACACACCTCTTCAAAGGTATCCATGCAAAGGATTATACAGAAATGGACGAGCATAACTTTAAATATATAAAGTGAATTGTTGAAAATAAATCACGGGCTTAGAAGGGATTTAATCATATCCTTTGTCTTAGTTTTGTCACAACTTTACTACTCTTTTGTGAACCATAGTAATTTTCATTTAATTATATAAGCAGTCTGCATCGTCCAATCAGATTTATACACCTTTACAATTAAATTTTAATTACCTTTACCTCCTTTTTTTTGGGTTTGTTCTTTCTCTTCCCACATGCTTCGTTTCGCATTCTGTGTCATTGGAATCTATACTTGCTTCTTGACTTGGGGCGTTGTTCAGGAACGTGTGAGCACAACACCTTATGGAGATACAGAACCACCGAAGAAGTTTAAGTACTTTATTGTTCTCAATTTAGTACAATCACTGATAGCAGCTATCGTTGCTTTTATTTATTTAAAAGTCTGTGGCAAAAGCTTAAACTTAAAAGATACACCATTCAGCCTTTACCTCAAATATGCTCAAGTCGCATTCTTCAATTGTATTGGTTCACCTTTTGGGTATGAAGCATTAAAGCATATAGACTATCCGACAATGATCCTTGGAAAATCATGCAAACTTGTTCCTGTGCTGTTCATGAATGTACTTGTCTATCGAAGAAAGTTTGACTGGCATAAATACCTATGCGTAACCTTGGTTACAATGGGTGTTTCCATGTTTATGCTGTACCACGAAACAAGCTCCTCCAAGAAAGCAGCTGCCACAAGTTCACTCTGGGGCTTATTCTTACTTTCAATGAACTTGGCTATTGATGGGTTAACAAATGCGACACAGGATCAGATATTTACAAAGTACAAGCACCTTGTCAGTGGACAGCATATGATGTTTTATATGAACATCATTGGCTCTGCCTTTTCTGCTGCCTACTTGATTTTCCATCCATTCAATAATGAATTACAACAAGCCTTGCTCTTTTTCCACCAACACCCTGCTGTTATTCGCGACGTACTCTTATTTGGCTTTTGTGGTGCGCTTGGTCAGTGCTTCATCTTTTATACCCTTCAGCACTATGGCAGCCTTCGCCTTGTAACGGTTACGGTCACTCGTAAACTATTTACGATGTTACTCAGCGTCTTTTGGTTCAATCATACGCTGACGTTTGGCCAATGGGCAGGTGTTGCGCTTGTTTTTACAGGTAATAAAAATAAAATAAAAAGTAGAAATGAACTTAACCCTGATTTATGTACAGCAATTGGCATTGAAGCGTATATTGGCAAACAGCAAAAACTACAAGTCAAAAAAACAATGAATGCGTCAGTAAAGGAACTTGATATCAAAAAGGCACTAAACAGCGAAAAACCTGCTCATAAGTTAGCATAAACCTATTTATTTATAGAAATCCATAGAAATAAACCTCTTTTTTTTTTTTTTTTTTT